AAACTACCCACCTCACCGCGACTGCGATCTTGAGTGACTTCTCCCCCCAATGCTGTCAGATCAACTCCAAGACTACAAGTCGATGTTTTCTCTTGTCCTCTGCCGCGTTTTCCTTGCTTTGGTGAGTTGCACGTGTCACTCAGCCAAGCGCCGCGATTAACACAATGCGACGCAGGCCTCAGGCTTTGAAACCGCTAGCAAAACATGGCATCGCGACTCCAAAACACACAGCTAATGGAAGTCGTATTTTGCATGTAACACATTTGCAAACATACACACGCACACACACATGTTTAAAGCTTTTTTTAATATATATATATATAAGTTTAGTAAGTTTGGCCACTTACTTTTCTCGTGCAAACCTGAGCCAATGAGACTAGGGTCCTAGGCCCCTCCAGAGGAACGTCCAGGCCACCACCCTTGGTTTTAGTCCCTTTTTGTTTGACTTTTGCAACGCCTCGTGAGGTCGAAAACAAAACTAGGAGCAATGCGCATCGCTACTAGGAGCAAGGACGCTACTAGGGGCTCCTGGCCTTACTAGGAGCAAAGGGCATCGCTACAACTACTTCCGAGGCTTCCTGTGGTGCCTCTTCCTCTGTCCAGCTCCCCCTGAGCTGCTCTTTTGGAAACCCTTGGAGTTCCAGGGACGAACCTTCGGGATGACAGGATCCCAGCCCCGCACCTAGTACTTTGCCATGCATCCTGCGCCTTCACAAACAAACTAAGGTCGCCCAGGTTTTCTCCAATGTTTACCTTGTGTTGCCCCGTTATCGGCAACCCACACCCTTCTCGCTGTTCTTTCATGCCTTTCCGGCTTTCATGTCCCATCATTTCATCCTGCACATTCGCCCGGACCTTGGCACATACGTGCACACCTACATACGAAACCAGGCTGACAGGCGGCCCAGGATTGTTCTATTGAGGTTTGGCTCATTGGTCGCTCCTTGTCATTCTTCCCCTTCGCCCTCACCTACTTCGTGCGCAATTTAAGAGAAAAGAAGATGCAAGTCCTTTCATCACTCTCTTCTTGCATACACATGTCCTCCACGCCCTCCAAGGGGCGTTTGTGTGTTTTTACACCTTGGAGTGTCTGTTGACAAGTTTCGTAAGCAGCGGGGCACAGGGAGGCACATGGGGCCAAGAGCGGCGCCGAACGAAGCCCTCTGGTGACTTCAGGATATGCCTGATCAGCTGCACATACTACTAGCAGCGATGGCCTGGGGCATCGCTCGACTGCCAATGCTCATTTTCTAACCACCCTGGTTTACGGTCACTAGAAAACTAGAACAACCTCTGGCCGCCTTTAGTGTGTGTCATATCTTTAGTGTGTGTCATTGGCTGCTCTGAACCAAATATCTATATATATATTGCATATAATGCCTCATCACCATCCCTACCATGAATGAAACACAATGTGTTCATCCAAATATGGTTCCTGTCAGGTCCACATGACCATATAGTAGAATAGAATTGACAGTGAAGAAGAATCTTGTCAGTGAAGGAGGTATCGAAGACTTTCTTCAACCTTCAAGTATTGCTTTTGCAGCCTCATCATCTGTACGTCAAGGTTGATCTGAGAACCTAACTTTCAGGCACTGCTTCCAGAAGGGCTGCCAGACCAGCACATGCCCGCAACTTGGTCCAACGCGCGACTCTTTCAGAGGCGGGTGGTAAGATAGGTAGCTGATGGAAATAGCTCGTGGAAGTAGAGACAGAACTTGTTCTTGACACAAAGGTAACAATAAACCAACTCTAAACTTGAATTTAAGCCTAAATTAAGTGGACGGGGTAGGTGGCAAGAGGAGGAAGCAGGTAGCTAGGAGTAGGGAACACTACTAGGTGCCCGGATGGGCTGGGCTGAGGCTAAACGATTTGGTTCCTACCTTTAGCCTTGTAAAGCCATAGATCCAAACTCCTAGGAGCCTTCTAGGCGAAACTGTCCGAAGCTCCAGCTTGCAGATCTTCGCCGGATGGGCAGCACACCTGAGGTGCAGGCCAAGCGATACACAACCCACAAATAAAACGATACACTAACCCATGTATATAGTTACTAGTAGCTTTGTGTCACTAGTAGCGATGGCCTCCAACCTACTAGCTTCTTGCTACTAGTAGCTTCTTGCTCCTAGTAGTAGTGCCAGGAGCTACTAGTAGCGTCCTTGCTCATAACATAACCCACCCACACATAGCTTCATACTGACTCAGAACGACTCACGATGGTTTCGCGGCGGCCTCTCCTTGCATTTTGCATGAAATGGTCTCTCCTTTTGCATGAATCTCTTTGTCGATTCAATGTGAAACCTGTGAAACTCCGAATCGACCTCTTTAAGGACGATACGCCGGAGACAACGCATCAGTTGGCACCAGGGGCTGGGAAATCGGAAGTGCCAGCTGTAGATCTCAGATGGGAATCACCTGCTTTCTCATGCAGAATGGCTTTCATCTCTCCACCCTGGCCCAAGGCTGGTGGAGCCAATGTGTCAATTCCCGTGGCTGCCAACCTCACATGTCGACAAAGAATAGTAAGTGTTCCAACGCTAAAAGTATATAGGCACATGTTCTAAACATGTGCAATATAAAATAATTACTATATAATACATATATATATATGTGTGTGTGTCACATACAGTAATATAACTTCCATTATGTAATTGTCCGAAACTGATTACTTTTCTCGTTTCTTTTTGTCTCAGGAACTCTTGAAAGCCGTCAAAGGCCATCTGCACGGAGTCCTCCAAGCGGGTCAAAATGAGCTCAAGCTCTTCCTGATCTTCGACAATGCCCTCCTCCATCAATTGACAATGCGAATCAAGTTGCTCTTTACTTTGCTTCAGCAATTTCACGAAGCTTCGAACCTGGTTCAAAACACCCAAATGAGCTTGGCTCTTCTCAGATGCAATGAATTCATCGCACCCATCCAACAAGAATTGTGCTGTTGCTGCGTCACATGCAATTTTCCTCAGCTCTAAATTCTTCACAATACCAAAGCCGGGATTCGCCTCCGCAGACGGAGCCTCAACACTCAAATCCTCGATCTTCTTTCTGTTTAGCTTCAAACCCAGGCAATTCTTGGCAGCAGCTCGCTCCATTTCCTCTGAGGCCTTGGCATTCTGTAGCAGCCCCTCTGTCAAGCCATCATAGGGATTGCTCAGGAAGCACGCCTTGTACTCACCCTCCCTGAATTGGTCTCGCCGCCACTCAAGCCTAAACAGGAGGTCACGCCAAGCCAATTTCAAATCCCGCAGGATACCTGCAGTGTCACCACACGTGTTTCTGGTCTGGCAAAAGTGCTCAACGATGATGACCGTCAAAAGATTCAACATCAAGAACATCATCATCAAAATGAACAACCAATACCAAATGGTCGCGGAGATGGGTGCGACCTCAAAGAGCTCGTCAAACTTGGCTGACCCCATCATCAAGAGCACTGCACTTGCACAACACTGCGGGTACGTGGACCAGCCTTCCAACTCTGGTCCAAAAAGGATTTTTCCGCCCACAGCAAAGTTGTTGAAAACCACCAGGAAGATCAACATGAGATGCATCACATCCCAGAAACCACCGGCCAAGGTGATCTGGATCATTGCCAGCTTTGCTTGTCCAAGAGACGCTTTCAGCATTCTGGCTGTGATGATGGAAGAATACCAAAAAAGACTCAATTGGAACCAGCCGCGCATTACCACAATAGAGTGTGCGTCGTCAATATTCTTGGACCACGTACGCTGATAGGAAACACCATCCAAGTCATCAGCCTTGGCTGCGGCACTTTGGTTTACATTTTGTTTCATTTGGTTCCAGTCTTCTTTCTTTCCCAGTTTCAAAGCGGAGGTGGGCCACTACGGAGGGGGTACGAGGTACGAGGATGAGGGAGCTCAGTAAAAAAGACACTGAGGACTACTAGCTCAACACACGCAAGGTCCAAGAAGCCTTGGCCTGGAGAGGCTCCTAGGTTGGAGGCCATCGCTATTAGGTTGGAGGCCATGGCTATTAAATTTCTACAAAAGCGAAGCTGAGCAACTAATGGAGCTCGTGGCAGCTGGGACACTGATGAAGCGAGAACTGCTGTGAACTCCTGCAGAACAAATCAACTATGTATTTTAAACTTAATTCTAATAGCTTGTTTGTTACTACTAGTAAGGCACTTGTTACTACTAGCGTGGCACTTGTTACTATGTAGGTCAGAAAAATTGTGCCCCTCTGAAGGGACATGACCTCTCATCCTCTTTTTCTAGACCTGCATTGACATACCTACGCATTCGCACACAGCATCACATGGAATTCCACGCCCAACCAGCCACATTGAAGAATATTGTGAAAAGTCCTGTATCCATAGCGAATAGACTGCAATGGCAATGCCAACCTGAGGTCACTAAGAACTGACATGTTTGTTTGCTTTCGTGTGAGCGTGTCTCCCTCCCTCTCCCTTTCTCACACTCTCGCTCTGTCTCTTGTTGAGCTTTACGTTTTGTTTGTATGCCGAGCTGTTTATTTTCTTTGGGTGGTAGTAGTCACATAGACTGTACATACCTCAAGTTGTTGAGCTTTTCAATTTGCAGGAACTGTTCAACAAGGCCCCTAGAAACAGGTTGCCGATCTACACCTTGACATGCGTACAGCGTACCAGTCCATATTCTCATGCACACGTTGGGGGCAGCAATGCCAGGACTTCATCCTGCTTTGGCTTGCAGCGCCCATTTGCACTGATGATGCTGTCTGGCTGTTCCAGACAGGGTTATGCAATTCAAATCCACTTCTGTTGACACTCGCGTGTCTTTAACTCTATGTCCTTCTTTATTCCTGTCTTTGTCTTCTCAATGTCGAGGCAATCTGTATCGTATCGCCTGGTCGGAACAGCCCATCGCTATTAGGTTGTGCAAGGAAGGCACTGGCCACACATTGCGATCCATTTCACTGCACTCAGAGCAAAGCAGAACTGCGAAACCACGCCCCATGGTCTTTATCACGAAGCTTCCAGTTACCTATGTCTGTTCCTACCATGTCTTGTAGCATCTACGTGGATCAGCAGTCAATTTAAATCCATTTTGTGTGACCAGCACGGGACGGTCAACTATCACCCTCCTTAAATCAACAATTGAAAAGCTTTGGGAGGAGGAATTTTGACGTGAGGTGACATAATAAGCATCTTGCAGTTGGAACCTTCAAGAAGAAACACTCTTTGGTCCTATTGCTATACTCCTTTACGCTCAGCTTGTCGGAGACAGGAAAAATCAAGAACTGGGTGTGTCAGCAGTGATTCAAGTCCCAGGTTTCATAATTCCCTTTCTGCCCACACCCCCTCTCTCAGGCCGAGAAAAACATGCATTCAAAGAAAATCTGGTCTGACTCTTGCACTTTGCTCGTTGCTCAAGCCGATTGGTTAACCAGTAGCCTCTAAATCTTGCCTGAAAACAAATGCATTTTTCTGGCTACGGTCAAGTTAAGCCCAAGCTTTGTTCATATCGCTGGTTCAATCTCACTCTGCTGTTTTTAAGGCACCGGCTGCAATTGAGACCCAGTCCACCAAATTCCAGAAGCTCGAGAAATAGACTCCTGAGAAACAAAGAGCTGGAGTTGTGAGCCCATCTACACACGCCCTCAACAGAATCCTGAAGGCGGCTGGGTTCTTTAGTCCACTCAACTTGCGCTTGAGGGAGTGCGTGTCTGCAGGTTTTAGCAAAGGTTGGAATCAGATCACACAACTGAAAGCATGCGAAAGCTTGCCTACTAGCGATGGCCTCCAACCTTTGATAGCGATGGCATCCAACCTACTGGAGATGGCCTCCAACCTAATAGCGATGGCCTCCAACCTACTAG